TCCCCCCTCCCTTCAGCTCTGATCACCAGGGCTTTCCCCCCTCTCTCTACTGGGTAGGCTCCATGTATGTGTGCACTCAGGAGCCCTCAGGGACCCCTGCCATGGCTAGGTCAACCCAGAAGACACAGAGTCCCCTCCTCCTACCTCTCCCCATCCCAAGCTTAACCTAAATGTGAAGGGGCTACTCCCCAGCTTCCCTGGCCCTGACTCAGCCCCCATGAATCACTTCCATGGGCAGTGGCTGTCCTGCAAATGATAAAGCATCACAGCATGAAGCAGCCGCAGAGATCTTGTGGGGTCAACTGCCCATCTCACCAGCAGGGACACTGAGGCTCTGTGAAGCTGTGAGGCTTGCTCAGGGCCCAGCAGCTCCTCCTAAGTAATGCAGCACCTGTTTCTAAGTCTCTGATTCTGCCCTTGAATTACTTCTGGATTCCACGCCCTACATCCAGGCCACCCACCCAATCCCTACATCAGCCCATGACTACTTCCCACTGAAATCCTCCGGGGCTTCCCAGCACCACAGGGTCAAGACTAATCAGCTTAGTCTCAAAGACCCTTGACCCATCCTGGGCCTTGTTTGCCATCCAGCCACCTCTCCCCTCTGAGTGAAGCCATGACCACAAGGACCACAACCCATGATCCCACATGAGTTAAGAACAGTCACCTCCAGGTCTTTGCTGAAGTTTTCCCTTCAGCAGAATGCCTTCTCCCCTGACCTCACCTGGTAGAAATCCTCTTTGCATGAAAGGCCTTTTCAGAGACCTTTCTCCCACTGAGCTACCATTATATACCGGGTCACACCCCCACCTGGACTTTGGAGCTCTTTGAAAACTAGGCATGTCCTATGCATACTTCGCTCCAGAGTCCGGTGCAGGGCCTGACACAGAGCAGTTGCTCAGCAGACAATACTCTGAACAAGAGAGACTCCAGCAGGGTGGCTCACTCAGTGCCGATGGTGGGATGGGACCCCATCTCTCCCCTCCAGGAAGGAAGCTAAGGAGGTCACAGGATAGCACCAGGTGCTTTTTCCCCACTGCCCAGGTTTGGTTTTCAGTATTTTCCATGTTGGAGGATAGTGGAAGGGGCAGAGGGAAGAGAGCTGGGGGAAAGGAGAGCCAGTTCAGAAGCCTTTTTTCCATGGAGGAAGAAGGCCCTGGAGCCTGATAGACCCCGAGGGCAGAGACAATCAGCACACACACACACACACACACACACACACAGAACCTGTGAAGAATGGGTTTTGTGACTGCCTCCTCTCCTGACCCTAATTAGCAGCTGCCCCTCCCCACATTGTCCCAGGCCAGTACCCCAGCCAAGGCCTCTTTTGTGCTCCCAGATTCCTGGGTGCAAGGTGGCCTCATTAGTGCCCGGAGACCGCCCATCTCCAAGGAGCAGGCAGACAGACAAGGGGGGAACCAGGGCCACAGTGATCCAACTCCAGCCTCTGACTGCCTTGACGGCCATTCCTGGGGCCCAGCCTGGAGACGGCCCCCCTGTACAAGGCTAATCTTAGATTTGCCTTTGTCTAGCCCCAGTGTGGACGAAAGTGTCTGTCTCTCCCCACCCACCTCAGAGCATTATAAACCCCAGGCCCCTGGTAGCAGGTCACAGTCGACCGCCTCAAAGTTCCTAGCTATTTGGACCACTGGAGACGACACCTTTCCCTGCTGCTCCACTCTGAGCTCCAGACACCATGCACCCTTCCTCTACAAAGGTAAAGACCTAAGGATGGAGGGGCCACATCATACCAGGGGGCAGTGAGAGTGCTTGCTCGGGGGCTGGAAGAAAGGCTGAAAGTGTCTCCTCTCTTTGTTTTCTCCTACAAAGGCTCTGAGGGAGGCAGGCAGGGGACCGGGTGGACTCTTGGCCGAGAACCTGCCTTGGTTAACCTTCTATTGTGCTCTGCTCTCCTAAGAGCTCGTGTTTATTGAGCACTTACTCATCAGGTGCTGTTTGCACCTGTCATCTCGTTTCAATCTCCCAGCAACCCTGCACAGTAGGAATTATTTAATGCCCGGTTCACAAGTGAGGAGGCTGTGCCCCCTGATAGGGTAGGAAACTGGGCCAAAGCCCAGGTCAGTGTCCCCTGCAAAGGAGCAGGCAAACAAGGCGACAACGACTTGGGTCCTGCTGGTCCTTTATTTGCCCAGGTTTGCCGCCGTGGATAGTGGGAGTGGGATTAAATGGGGCCTGTTTCCCTGAGAGTACAAACTTCTGGTGCAGAGACAGACTCAGGCACACGTGTTTTCAGGCGGAGTGGTAAGCGCGCTAATGTGGGCACAATCAGAGTTAAGGCTGCTACCCAGAGGAGACAGGGATTCGTGCTGCCCAGGGGGGTCTCAAAAGGCTTCTTGGGAGAGATGCTGTGCTGGGACTTGGATGCGCAGGTAAAGAAGCCAGATGAGCCCCTTGCCCAACCCTTCACACAGCATTGCGAAGAGGCAGGAAAACGAAGGCACAGCGAGGGCGGGGCGCAGGCCAGGAGCGGGCGCAACCGCCTGGGCAGGACCTGGGCTCGGGGGCTGGCTGAGGGCGCCGCGGGAAGACCCCCAGCGCCGGGTCTCCACCTCCCTAGGTGTCCTGGGTCGCCGTGTCGCTGCTGCTGCTGCTCCTGCTGCCGCCCGCGCTGCTGTCGGCCCAGGCGGCCGCGCAGCCCCTGCCCGACTGCTGCCGCCAGAAGACGTGCTCCTGCCGCCTCTACGAGCTGCTGCACGGCGCGGGCAACCACGCCGCCGGCATCCTCACGCTGGGCAAGCGGCGGCCCGGCCC